AATGTCCATCTTTAACGTGCTGTTTTGTGTCCATTTTGTAGCGGTAGTCACAGATGGAGTGAATGTGGAGCGGTTCACAGTGCAGTCACTCATGGATGGATTTGAGGGAAACCAAGGCTACAATCAAAGATTTGGGCTTCACTCTGTCAACTTTGAAAATCCAGACAGACCGAGAACCCCAAAGCAGTCTGCGTACTTCTACTCACAGGTTATCCAACAAAATGGTTTTGGTGTATACAAAGGTGATGTTTCGACAGGGGTGAAAATGCCGCTCCCTCGCCGTTTACCTGCTTTACCACCATCAGAGGTTCCATCTAAATCAAAGGTCGTCTGGGAGACATTCTCACACCAGTCAAGCTTCCAGAGACAATCGTACCACTATGGCACTTTCCCAGAAGACTTCAGTTGGGGAGTTTCATCTTCAGCTTACCAGATTGAAGGAGGCTGGAATGCTGATGGAAAGGGGCCCAGTGTCTGGGATACATACACTCAGACACCCGGCAATACTCTTGCTGATGCTACTGGAGATGTAGCCTGTGACAGCTACAACAGACTTGATGAAGACATCTACATGCTGAGAGCTCTGAGGGTGAAGTCATACAGATTCTCTTTGTCCTGGTCCAGGATCTTTCCTGATGGTACTCGTTCCTCCCTGAACCAGAAAGGTGTTGACTATTACAATAAACTCATTAATAGCCTGATAGCAAATAAAATCACTCCCATGGTGACACTTTACCATTGGGACCTCCCTCAAGCTTTGCAAACCCTCGGTGGCTGGGAAAATGAAAACATGATTAACATTTTTAATGACTATTGTGACTTCTGCTTTGCCACCTTTGGTGACAGAGTGAAATTGTGGATGACCATCAACCAGCCTCACTCAATTGCATGGTTAGGATATGGGCTTGGACAGATCCCTCCAAATGTTAAGAATCCAGGAACTACACCATACATAGTTGCACACAACCTGATCAGAGCTCATGCCAAGGCTTACCATACATATGATGACAAATATCGCACATCCCAAGGAGGTCTTGTATCTATTGCCCTCAATGCTGACTGGGTTGAACCTAAAGATGTCAATGTTCTCCGTGAAGTGGTGGCTGCTGACCGCGCACTGCAGTTCCAACTGGGCTGGTTTGCACACCCCATTTTCAAGAATGGCGACTATCCTGATGCAATGAAGTGGCAAGTTGGAAACAAAAGTGATCTCCAAGATCTTTCAGAATCAAGACTACCTTC